CTATAAACCACTTCCATTCCTACATTACTTTGTTAGTATACACCATGACTGTAAACCACTTCGAGTCCAACATTTCTTTAAGTTGTTTTAGAAAATATTTTGTTTATAAATATTGTATACCTTCCAGTTCACTAATAATTTAAATAATGTTAGTAAATATTATGGTTGTAAACAACTGGCAGTGCCTTTGATCATGTAGGATTAAAATAAGGTTATAAATCTCTTCCAATTTGCCAATTATACCTCAAAGTTGTGTTCAATTAGGTAAAGTATGGCCAGCATCACTTCGTATCATACAGCTCATGTACAGCTAAAAATTGCTACCTATTTTAGACCATTCATTTTTGTAATTCTGTGAAGGGTCATACAAGTAAAACTTACTGAAACAATAGAAAAATTATTCAGATCTAAAAAAATATGGAAATAGTATTGAAAAAAAAAATAATTTTCTTTACAGCTGACGGTATCTGCATACCTGTTCCCTTAATTTGGTTAATCGAGCATCTTCTTCTTGCTGACGTCGCTCTTCAATTTCTGCTTCTTTTTTCTTTCTCCTGGAATATTTTTCAAATTATTTTTCATCTTAAAACATTTTACCCTTACATGTTCTGTATCTGTTTATTTAAAAATTAAAAATAAAATACTGAGATAATCTTTTATCTCCCTCACAATCAATGTTTAGGCAAATTTATAACCATCACCAAGTCTTAAAGAAAAATCTCAAGCACATCTCACACAATAAAACCGATCTTTACAATAAGGCTCCATTTAACTAGAACTATTTACCTCAACATCTGAGCACACTGTTTTTAGCACTGATATAAAACAGATTTCTAGGCTCCATTATTTTTTTTTTGTCAATAAAAAGAAAATTTTTACTTTAAAGAATTAGCCAGTTTTACATTATTCTTTACAGTTTTTTCATCAAAGTTCCAAACTAAGAACAGATTTGTGATACTGAGTGCAAGATTAACTAAAAGGTTTGTCACTAACTTGTCTTTATTAGTCTCAATCATTCCATACAGATTTAGTGCCCTATGTGCAACACCTTCTTGACCTAACTTATGTTTTCCAAATTTTTTGGAAATGTTGAATCTTAACTGTAATTATGTTTTTAAATAAATAGGATTAGACCTCCATGTTTATTAGCAACACAAGAATTTTCACATACTAGAGTACAGTAGATTTTTTACCATACTAATGTTACCATCATGCAATTCAAAAAGACTCTAGAATATTTATTTGAAATTACTTCCAAAAATACTTAAATATTTTCAGAAAAACATATTTGTATAGTGTAAGATGTCTCTCCATACACAAATAACTTCTGTATGTATTATTCATTTTATTAATTTTGGTAAATCAAAACATTTAGTGACTGCTTTAAACCAGTTTTGTTCATTTAGTTTCAAAAATATACAGTTACATACACTAAAATAAAGAGCATGATTAAAATTAGTATTAGTAATCACAATCTTAACTACTTAAAGACTTTGTTACTTTGGTTAAGACTTTAAGGTCTGGTAAAGGAAAAGATACACAGCATCAGCTGCTCATATGATATAGATTGTCAGTTTTTGTGGATTGATTGGTTTTAAATAATAAATATGTATGAATTAATGCTCAAATTTCTTAATTTCTAGTTCTGTTTAGACACTGAAAATTTCTATATTGAAATCTTACAAACTGTTTCCAGAACTCTTTTGTTTTGTTTTTTTCTGTTCTTAGACTAAATAAACACAGAAAATTAAGTTATTTTGGCTACAGAATTTCTATATTGTGCTAACAGTTCATCTTTGCTTTCAATGAATTTTTATAAAAGTAAGCAAATTCTTGATTTAAAGATAAATTACTAAAATACACACTACTGTAATTAAACCCCTAAAGACCTTATTTTCAATTCATCTGAAGGGTAGCCACGTAGGAAAAATATTTCTTTAAATGCATCACTGACACGTCATTATAAGAATATTTGCTTTTTTAAATGCTTATATTAACGATGATACACTCTTTTACGTGACATTACTTTATAATTTATCTGTCATTAAAAATAAAGAGCACAGCAGTACAACCATTTATGACGATATAACATCTAGACAGATAAATCATTTAAACAAACACTGTAATTTAACATGCTAGTTTAACTTCAGCTCACAATTTTCCCCTATTGCATACAACCTAACTGATAGCTAAACAATAACTCTCTCTAATGGTGTGCCATACCTCTTACCATCAGGTAAGTATTTTGTAATCGTAGGTTCACAAGAAAACTTAATACATATAAATACTTATTTAAAAAGATTACACAACATTTATATTACTTCCAACAAAAGTATTCAAACAAAAAAGGTCAAAAACAAACTACAGAAAAAAATGGACAAATAAAACCAATACAAATTACATTGTGGGAGGGGTAAAATATATCTTGGTATAAAGAGGTGAGGATTCACACAGCAGCTGAGATAAACCCAATGAACTGCTCTGGCTCATAAAATGTTTGGAGTCAAAAAAATTGCCAACCTCATATTTCTGTCACCAACTTTCAAAAACAGGTGCCCACTAGAAGCCAACTTTTAAACAATCAATCTGTGACATATATATATATATACCCATACAAGAAAGATTATTGAAAAATTGATGAAAAGACAAATTTAATGGGTTTAAGGATATTATTCCTACTTTAGAAAAAAATTATTACAAATACAATTGAAACAAATATTTGGCACATGGGTTGAGACAATCTACATTTTGATTTTAAACAAACAATTAAGATTCATCAATATAAAAATTAAAGAAAAAATGAGTAAATAATGTAACTCTTCTGTATTTGTGTTTGATAATCTTTTCCTGAAGCACATCACATCAAGTTGTAAAAGAATTAACTACTTTTGCTTTGATACAATTGTTACAAAACATAATTTTGACTTTGCTATAATACATGAACAATGGGTGTTCAAAATTTCAACTGTCTGAGAACTTATGAAAACTTGGCATTTGAGGTGTATGAAATATTACACTAAGTTGTTGCTGATCAACAGATGAAATTTCAGGGACAGTTTCACTAGCTAAGCTGACTATGGCAGCTGAATGATAAACAAACACCAAATTTAAGGTATCTACATAAAACGAAAACCCAAACAAACACTAATTTTAAGATATCTAAATAAAAGAGCTACAAATAAACAGATTTTTTAAAAATATACACTGAAAAACACAAAACCTAAATATCAGTGTTCAGGCCTACAATTTTCCACAATTACTCTAAATATTTTTCCACATGCGAGGCTTATGAAGTGGTTAATTCTCATATATGTATTTATATGCTATATGTATGTAGATAGCTCTTTGTTAGAGTACCCTTCCCATAATGTAGGTTGTGCCCTAATTTTGTCTTTCAAACGTGATGCCTTTTGTTTTAGGCATATTTATATGAATAGCTCTTTGTGCATATATTTATGTCTGCTTATTACACTAAATAACTAATTCTAATTTCTCTTCCCAATGATCAACAATGGCTAATTTATAATTAGTCCCTCCGGCAAGTTTAGACTTTTGTGATATGTCATACTGCGCTTCATGTTTTTTTGTTCCCACATTCTGTGTATGTTTATGAATGATTTGAAGGAAAGTCATTTCTGAGCAAAAGAATCATAGGGAGCTTTTGTTTGATAAAAAATTTTATCCATACAGTTCATAAATGAGTAGTATATGATTTTAATAAAATAAATCTTGTACTTTTCAAACCTTATATACCTTATATATATATATACATCCCAGACTAAAAGTTTACATTTTCTTTTATCTTGCATGTTTTTTAAATTTAGAAAAGTAGATTTTTAAATCTCAACCACACCATGAAAACTAATTCTTAGAATTTATTATGAGACATTTTTGGTTAATAGGAAAAATGATATACTTTTTAATAGCAACAGAATATATCAGTAGTTATGATAACCATAAATAAATTAACCACAAAAAGACAATTTTAATGATCTTAAGTTTTAACTATATTAAATCAATGATGTTTATTTGTTGGCACAACCACCACACAGTTCATTGTATTTAAGAAATGTTCCAATTCTTTGGTGGGAAAACATTTAAACTGAAAAATAACTTACAAATAAGTTAAGGAACATTACATAATTGATGGTCTAGAGTAAGTATATGTTTAATCAGTATACATTGTAATTAACAATACTGATCAAAAAGAAGTTTGCTTCTATAAATATTCTTTAAACCAATGTCTTAAATACATAATATATTGAAATATTTTTGTTTACTTTAGACTCTGTTCAGAGAGATTTTTTACATGGTAACATACAACTTTGTAGTAAAATTGGTTTGATTTTACATTTTCCTTCATTTCAGACTTTCAAATGTATTAAAAGTTCAAAAGGATACCTATACTGGTGTTTGCTAGGCTGTTAAACTGTTTGTTGGAATTTTAAAGTAAATTATGATGCATTTATATTAAATAAATTTGTATGATTATAGCCAATTTAGGAATGCATTTTTGCTTAGTAATACCTAAATTTTGTATGTCAAAGCATAAACAAGCACTTTTTCCATTTGTCTTTGTGATATCACTAATCATTCTTCTTTTCTTCACAAATAATGTCATCTGTGTCATCACACTACACCTATAGAATCAGCATCAACCTATTGTTAATATAAGCTCTTCCCATGTCACACTCTTTGTTAACTGTGAAATAAATTAAACTTCTAAATGTTTTTTAATAAAAAGTTTAAGATCTGAATTTTAAATATGGAATAGCATAGTCAATCAAGTTATCCCTTTCATCTAAGTTTTACATTATTGTGGTAAATATGATAATATCACAGGAAGAATGTTCATTACAGTCATTACTATTTTTTTTTGGTCACTCCATTAATTATACACAATAATCTGTTAGTTTCTATTTTATATTGTTGAAACTTTACAATGATTTAAGAAACTACATTACTGGTTAAATATGTTTGAAATTTTGACTAAATAATTAAAAATACACGAATTAACTGTGTGTTCAATTATTATTGACCCATTTATATTTTCTCTAACATCTACACCTGAATTGTGATACACACTCACCCTCAAGGACTTCTGAATTGGGAAATATTTTCATAATCAGACAAAATTTATACAACACAACCATGAACAAAATTTTCATACTAAAACTATTTTGATAACTGAATATTCACTGTGTTGTATTAAATATAACATAAAATAATAATAAATAGGGTATTCTAAATTACAGAAAATAGTTTCACGGTTTTAGTTTGTAACACTTACCAAATTTGCTTCTTTTTCATTTCTTCTTTTCGGCGTTCTTCCCTTTCTTTTTCTTTCAGGGCTAACTGTTCTGCTTGTTGTTGTTCAAGATGACGAATTTTATCTTCTTGTTCCTTTTCTTGCTGTTTTTTATTTTCAATCACTCTCTGCATTCTTTCTTCTCGTTTCCTGAACATACATTAATTAATTCTAAGTACATTTCACAGTCAAAAAAAAAAGATTGTATCTTCATATTTCTTGTGTCAAAATTAATGACATAAAAAATCTTAAGAGAAGAAAAAAGAATGTGAAAAGTTTTACTTTAGATTTTTTCCACATAACAAGCATCAAACGAAGGAAATCATCTGTAATTAATAAATCATATTTTTAACAGTCAAAACTACAAAAATTTACTCAGATTTTTGCTTAACATGTATTTGTTTCAAAGTTTCAGCCTCTGAGTTTCCTGTTACATCTTACACCCAAAAATGACTGGCTCTATAATGAAGATATATGCAAAATTAAAGGTATTATTTTAGTAATTTATGTAAAAAATGTTTCTCAACAGAATACACATTTATCTTCCAAAATGTGCAATATAATTAAAACGAAAATAAACATTTCATTTATTACCTAAAACATTTTAAATTATTCATTTGTTTTCATGAATAATTAAAATTTACATATCAATAGATTTTAAAAAATGAAGATAATTCCTGTAATAATCAACACAACTTCTTGTAAATTGTTTTTGTGAAGACAAGAAGATTAATTGTTATGATCACAAAACACACGCATGAATAGTAATAGCATAAAGAGAATTTTCATAATTGCAACAGGTCGACTGTACAAGATATTAGTTTTTTAAAGTTTGTGGTGCATTTATACCCAATACACTGTTGATGCTCTGCCCCTGGTTGTGTTTATACAACTACATAAAAAGGACAAGTAAAACTTATTTAAAATGTTGTTGTTGTTTTACTATTTTTTCTGTTTGTATTAGGCATACAATGGTAAATTTTCCAGATGCGATTCTTTTTTCTTTTAATTTTGTATAAAATTTATGATCAATATATTCCTTAATATTTTATAAGCAATCTACCAATTAATTTTTGAGATCCTTAATTCTTCATTTATTATTATAATATTCCATACTTATTGGGGATGAGAGAAGTTTATCAAAATATGTAAAATAAAAGTGGCTAAGAAAATAGAATACGCATTCATAAACATTACCTCTTTTGTTCTTCAATCTTCTGCTTAAGAATTTGTTCTCGCTTACGAAGGATTTCTTGTTCTTTCTGTTGTTTCTTTTGAATTTCCAGTTGTTTTTGGTATTCTCGTTCTTTAATTGTCAAACTCTGAGGAGTACCACGGGACTTAATGAAAGATGAAACGCCTGTCACAATGTTAGCTGGAAAAAGGCGAGACTTTCCTGACTGAGGAGTATTCTTATTGCTACTACCACTGGAAGTATATCCACTGTAATCATTCTTCAAGGAGTGAACTCTACTGAGGTGTCCTTTATGTAAAACCTGTTTGTATAAAAAAATTAAATTTTGAATTGTAAGCACAGAAAATTGTTACTAATAAAATTAGTTTTTTCTTACAGGCTTTCAAAGATAGCGTGACTGCAATATGAATATCTATATATTTTTTATAATTGCATAAAACATGTTTAGTTGCTAAGCATTTGTTGCATTAGGATTTTTCTGACATTAATAAAGCAAGTGTAATTGAATACATTCAATTAATGAAAAACAATCCTATAGAAGTCAAGTTTTTATTATTCAAATCCTTGTACTTGCTTTTTGCTGTTTTGGTATTCAGATCTTATAACAGAAATAGTTTAAACATTTTCAGCTACTTATAGATTTTCCTAAAATCAAAAGATCTGTTATTTCTTAATAATTCATTATTCAATTTTTCAATACACTGGAGTACGACTGTTTGCTAAAAACCAATATGTTTAAGAAGTCACACAGAAATTGAGAGAATTTTCAAAATATCTTAACCATGGTTTGATCAGTTGGAAAGAAAAATGAATGAACCGTGAGAGAAAACTGGAAAAAAAGATGTAAAAGTGAAAACAAACCCAAACCCCTGACTAGAAATTTTAGAAGAGTATGACATAAAAATGTAAAAAACAGCATGTAACAAGAAATTTTGAAAGACTTTGGAAAAGTATAACCACCAATTTAAAGAACTAATTAACACAAACAAACTGACTTATGAGGATGCTAAGGCACCATTTTCCAAAATAAAGCAGAATGGTTAAAAGTGTCTTGGAAAGTGGACTGTGGCACCTTCAATAAACACACATTTGGCATACAGGCACAGAGTCAAAGTGACCAAATGCAGTAAAACACAACATTAACTACTTGCACAAATCAGTGACCAAAGAAACTGTTTGTTCTAGTTTAACTTGCACTTGGCAGCCACGCTCTTCAGTGTCTAGTCACTTTAGTCTAGTGCTTTGTCTGAGTCTCTAATATACCATGAGTAGTTTACGTGTGTAAAATAGTGGATGTAAAAATTATTACAGCATCAATGAAATCAAAAATGTAAAAGTCAGAGAACAATGCAATTGCAATATACCTTGTCATGAGTTTATTAGTGAAAACAATGTTTGCAATGGGAGTTGGTAGAAAACCAGCCTGTTTAGTTTGTGGTTTTAGTGTTTCTGTATTGAAGAAATACAATTTGGAAAAGCACTACAGCAATAATCATACAGACCATGATGTAAAGTATCTAATGAGCTCTGAATTACTGCAAGTGTACATTGCCAGGAAAGAGTGCACTCAACAATCAGAAGTACAGCTGTTGCTTCCTACTAGCTGGCTCTATTGTTGACCAGAAAAAAAAGGAAGCAATTTATATTTCCTGATGACAAGATCAGCTGATTGGAGAAGCTTCAAATAGAAATTATAGATCTGAAGTACAACACCATCCTGAAGGTCAGTTTCCCAAACTTCCAGCCCTTCCTACTGAGATAGATATGATCTCATTTTGGTGACTGCTTCCACTCACAGAATCGGCCATTTGCCTTTTTTCCACTCAGTGTTATGTTTGGCACAATGCGAGCAAACAATTTCTATGGTGAAGCTGATTAAAAACAGAAATTTTGCTCGTTTTGTGGAGAGGAATATGAGTGGCCTGATTATACTGGTGACCACTAACCTACAGCCAGATATCAACAAGTTAGCTTATGGGCTTCAGCCACAGAAGTGGCATTAGATTAGAGTTGTGTGAAATGGAAATACGTTATAACTTTAATCTTTTTTTTTTAAATTGCACATTTTTTTTAAACATGTTGTGATTTGTAGTCCTTACTAGTGCATACTTTAATAAATTTGTTTATAGGTTGATAAACTAGTAATCCTTCAGGGTTGTAGAAATTATATTTGTGACCCTCAAGCCAAAAAGATTTGTAACCGATGTGTTAAAGCTATTGAAGCTGTTTTAGAAACAAGATATTTGTTGTTGCAAAATGGACCATTCACCATTTGGTTTGTTTTTTTTTCTTTCAACATAAATTTAAACTATTACTATTTTATTAGTTAAAATATAACATAACAAGAACTGTGTGGTCTCTAAACAAAGTCCAAAAATCCACTATTGAAACACTGAAACTTAGGAATAAGAACATCATATTTGTTCAAGCTCAAAGTAGTATAAGGTAATCAACTTGTTTTTTACTAACTCCCCACAAGTTAATGCCCACACAATGCCAGCCTGACTGATATGAATATTGAAACACCATTGTTTTCAGTCATTTACTAAAGTAAAGAACTGAATTATTTCACAACTTAAATTTTCTACCGGCCTAAAAAAAATAAGTTTCTGATGGAGCAGATAACTGAACATCTTGTATAACAGTAAAGTTAATAAAAGAACAGTGCACACACATTCCATCAGTACCTATCCCAATACAATAATATTCATGCAGGGTGTCAAGTAAAATGTTTATTGTGTTAGAAAAATTAGTTAAACATGTCAGTATTAAAAGTTTGTCATACAATCATTACACAACACAATCATACAGTAAATGACTCATTATATACTTAGGGTTGGAAAAATAATCAATTGTCATGCAACATTTAAGTTACTGTTCTACTTACAAGGTAATAAGACAATGATGGATTGCAAGACAGGACTTAAAATAGTGGTTGAAAACAGGAATGATTTATTTGCTGATACTTAAAAATGTCTGCACAAAATATTTTGCTGAAGGTATTTGAGTTTACCAAGATTTTTGACTAGGTTTTTTTAAAGGACTTTTCAGGCCTGGGAATTGAATTTACAAACTATCAGGACTTTCCAGGATTTATATGAATCCTTGCTAAAAAATTCAGAATTAAATATCATGAATCTCTGGCAGCCAAGAAGTAATCTATATGTTTGACTTTAGAAAGGATGTTTTGAAAAACTTTTCCTCGTTTAAAATAAACTTTAACATTAAATTTCTGGCAAGTCCTTTTAAGATTTTTGCTTAATTTGGGAATATATCTACAGTGGCCTGAAGAAAGCCTCAGTATAAAAGCCAAAACATTGTCCTCTTTCATTCACCAAGCAATTGCAGTTCATCAAAGCTGTCAAATTGACTATGTCTACTCTATCTAAAGATCTACTGAAACAACAAGACTGATTTTAGCCCTGACTTTACATGAGGTATAAACCATTTTAACTTCACAATAATATTTTGTAGGCAAAGATAAGTATGTTAATATCATATACTTGATGTTATGCTTAATTCTATACCTAAATGGTAGATACAAAGGTTTAGAAACAATGAACCAATATTGCTGTTGATGTAACAGGCTGAAATAATTTTCACTTTGAGCAGTACTGTTAAGCCATGCTGGTTCTACTTATAGTATACCAGAGAGATTAAACTTTATATTTTCAACAAGAATAGAATCTCTGAAGAGCAGTGCTTGATAAAAAGTCTAAAACCTTGAACAATAACCCTTGAAAGATCTCAAGAAAAATGGTATAAGAATACAATAAAAGAGTTGAACCAGTGAGATATGTATATAGAAAAAACAAGATTGAGATGATGAACTAAAAGGAAGGAATTTGTTCAAGATACCACTGTACAAAACACAGTTCATGTTTAAAACTAACTATTTCAAACATGAACATTTTAAGAAATCTAGCTTACAAAAATTGTAGATCAATATGTACAAGTGGTTTGTACTTTGTCCATTGGTTAAAGGAAACAATCAATGGTTTGATTGATAACACGTTACACCATATTTCACACAATTTACAAAAGTGGGTTGTAAAAAAATGACATTCAGAATCTGTCTTGGGTACCAATGAATCCTGACCTGAATCTAACTGAAATGCTCTAGAACATTTCAATTCACTGTTTGAATGACAGAATAGGTATATCCTGAAATTTCACTACCCTGAGGCTGATTTACTAGAAAAGCAAATCTACTTCTTTGGGTGTATGCCAAAGGATGATTGAAAATGCTTGTAAAACAGTTCAGGCATTGATTAAGGCCGAAACTGGGGCCCTAATTGTAGAATATATCCTTTTTATTCTCAAAATGTGCTTTCCCAAGATTGTTGGTATTAAGCATTTTTGTTTTATGAACAGCTACAATTCCCCTTGCTGTTCCATAACATTATCAGAGCTTATCACCCAAGAAACAGTTCACATATGTCAACAAATAAAGATGAGAGTTGCAACCTGTTGATGTTAGGACTAGTTATAATATAAAGTCTTGACAAAAACATCTTCTGACATTCTTTATTCCTCTTCAGTTTATATTTTATTTTAAAGTTGTTAAAAAATTAGTTCTATAGATTCTAAGTGCATAAAGTTGATGTGAGAGGCCTTATATCCATAGTCTCACATACAAGTGCTGATAAATACTTTTAACTCTTAACTTCTTTTTGCTCCTAATCACAGAGAGATCACCTTATGGAAATACAAATAAATTTGAGTGCTTATTTAGTATTTTTAATATTTTTTTAGGAATCTTTGTTTATCCTTTGCTTCACATGTAGGGATTCCAGATTTTATAAAATAAAATGCAAGATTTTCAACAAAATACTTAGCTGAAAATCTGTGAACTAACAAGTCAATGCTGCTCTTGAATGACTGCATGATATACAGTGTAACTCAATAAGCAAGTATCATGCATATCATTCTTTTTCTTTGTTTTATTAATCATTATGTAGCTTATTGAATTCCACCATTTTATTTCACTCAAATACATCACACATTCAGCAATTTATGCATTAAATGAGCTACTACGTATTATTATTAGTAAGTTATGCCTGTAGTAGGTGTCTGAATAAAATTAAAAAAAGGCTTTATATGACAGATTGAATCACACCAATTTTAAAAGTGCATATATCACACACAGTTAACAAAATCATAAAAATCTACAGATCCTTCAAGTATTACATTCTTTCAAATTTGTTTCAGTGAGTAAAAACAAAATAACAGTTATACATTTTTGAAATATTGGACAACACTAGTTAGGTTTCATCTTGTGATTTGCTGTTTAAAAATATTACTTTTGTTGTTCTTTTACAAACAATCATACAATTATTAGAAAGAAAGATTTTAATTTCACAACCTACCTTATTCGAAGACGATCCTCCAGATCGCAAACTTTTCTGTCCACTTGAGAACTTGGTATTACTGGTCCGTATCTGATTATTACTACTTGCAATCTGACCCAGGGGATGAGCAAACTATCAAAGACCACAAAATTCACATAATGAAATGTATAACAGTTTTATTAGATTTTGGTGTCCATTCTGGAAAATCATATAATGTAATGGATAAATTGTTTTGAATTCCCAAACTACATAAATCACCAACCATGTAAATACAATTCTAGTCGCTATAAAGGTCTCAGATACATTAATGAGCATTTAAATAAACAGTGTAATGTTATCAACTATTTTAGTAATCTGGTCTTCCAATTGATAAAATTTAGATCTTTCACTATAAATTTCAAGGCCTTTTAAGATTTATGGAAAATCAATGTCCAAAGAAAGAAAAGTAATATGAATTAACTCAGTTGACGATGTAACTAAACTGACAGAAGACACAGCAGACTTGTTGAGAAACCTACTAGAGGAGGTGTTATTGGAAATACATAAGAGTACTTATGTCTAAAAGATTATTTTGGGTTAACTTAATTGGTAATTTGTTTACTGTGGTTCAAATGTTAATGAGTATTCTGTTAGAAACCACTGATTATCACCCAGCTGGTAATGGCTTAGAAGAAAGGCTTAACAAAACTTTACTAGATATATCATAATACTGTGAGCAGGATCAGAAAACATAGGATGAACAGAATCCTTTATTTTTATTAGCATACAGAAGTACCAAAAATGAATCCACACAAGAAAAACCCTTTCTTCTAAGCCATCATATGTAACGTATTACAACCAAAATGTGATTGTATTCTACAAAATAGTGGTCCACTAGAACAAAGCAAAGATAGTTGCACTTTATAAAAGCCAGTTTTATAATACTGGATACGGTAAAATAAAGCTGCACGTAATGTTAATCAGACACGGCTGAAAGATCTACAAAATAAAAATAAAAAATATATAGAGATGTATAATTTCATGAGATTTCAGCTATTAATAATACACATTTGTGGTTCTGTGCTATAATTTGTAGTCATTCTAGAATGAAAAAATATGTAATTTAGATCTATTTCCTAATTTTTTATCATGGTTACAAGTTGGTCAAATTGACTAAACTTGTACAGACATAGGAGAGAGAAAATAACATATAAAATGTAATGTTTCATAATTATCTGGAGGTTATAAAGAACTTGCATGTAAAATTTGACAATTTTCTGATGCATAAAAGTATTTTTAATCTTAAGATCAAAATTATTTTGCATGTTGAATAGTCAACATACAAAATGAAAAAATGCATGAGTAAACCATTAACTAAAAAACCTTAAAACTTAATTTTAAAAATCTGGTATTTTGTGTACGAAAGCCTTGTAATGTTTACTGATAATCTGTAAAATTTCATGAAGATATGGATACATTTAGAATCGACCCAGACCATAGTCAAAGAGTTAACTTGATTGCAAGATGAGTTATCTTTGTTTGAGAAACCCCTTAACTGTGAAACTAGTGTAAAATTTAAACTGGACAGAAACAAGGAAAAGATTATGTTTACAAATACAGGAATAGCTATTTTGAAAGCATTAAGGGTAATGCAGACAGGACTAGTAACAAATTATAAGAAGTTAATTAGAAAATATCATGACAAGACAGGCAATCTAAACCAGGCCTCAACAAATTCCAGGTGCCAAGTCGCCATGGTAACTAAAATTTCATCATGCCACCTAGTATTTTCTACCATTTTATTCGTGCATAGGGCTGTGCTAAATAGAACTCAAATCTAGAACAGTTCTGGACTCTTCGAAGTCCAGAACTATTTTCCCATTCTTTGAGCCCTAAACTGAACTTTGTTTTTAGGATTTTAATGGTGGATTCAGCACTTCATGTTTTTTCAGGATGAAGTGCTGTGGTTATACAACACATTACTAATTTTGTGCCATTTTATTTTTCTTCTTTCTCTCAATTCACGTTTTCTAACTTTTCTGTGACTGAACTACTCTTTCAGTTGACTTTACTTTTACTCTGCTCCTGCTTGCTTGTTCGTCTCTATATGTTTATCACTGCGGCCTCTACAATTTTCTATAGCCTCGACACCAATGAATTGCAAACACAACATCAAGGCATTCTATTATCTCTACTCACTTTTCCTCATTTACTCTACAACTCCAAACTCATCAGACTCTTCAGGGAGTATCTCAAAATTTACAAAATGACCATACCTAAAGTCATTTACTTGCAAAATGTGTGTTCAATTTTGAAGCATAGTCTAGCACTGTAGCAATGCTGCCCAAATTTCTTTCTGTTCAAATAAAAACCTTCTTAAATCGCTCACAAGCAAGGCATAAAGACACGGAAATCGATCTCCAGCCAGTCAGCACATAAAGGATTGTCACTCATAAAGGTGTGAACAAAAAAGAATTGTCCATAAAAGTGAAGCAATTGGATATGTTTGAGGGAATTTTACAATTGCTTCAGTATTTTTAATGTTCAAGAGTTGAGAAAGAAGCTATAGAAATTTAAGTATTCTGAATGTGATACACATACACGTAGAAATGGCACAAGTAAGGATGCCTGTATGACAAAATTAGGTCAAAAACTAGGCGAAGCCCAGTTAACAGGTTAGTTAGTATTGAGAATCACAAGTTGAGAGCTATAAAAGATGAAGCTACAGCAAGGATGCTGAGAAAAATGTTAGTCACGAGTTTGACAGCGATAAGTTACTGCCACCAAGTTAGTATCACTGTAGAAGCAACTAAAGAGTTTACGATAGCACCTCAAATCGGTGCTTTGATGTGAGATCTGTTACTCCAGACAAGTGTAGTAGTACAAGTAAAAAGGCAACCATATCACTCACCATCACAGTAACTAATTACTTGAGAGTTTTGGTTCTTGTTTTGTTTAGCCCGGGAAGTTGCACAGATTGATCAACAAAGTGTTACAACTACTTGAGGGTAGTTAGGAATACTATTTGGAAGGTCGAAAGAATACAGAGAAAATATAATATAAAAACTCATGTCTGGAGCTAAAAATCAGTTATCTCCAGGAAGAATTGAGGTTCTCCAAGCCACTATAAATACAAAGGTTTTCAATCTCCAGACGTATACCAGTCCAACTCTGTTTGAAGTATAGAATTGCTATCTTTCTTGTTCAATTATTGTAGTTTATTAAAGGAAGTTAATGCTTATAAATACAAAGGTTTCCAATCTCCAGAAGTACACCAGTCCAACTCTGTTGGAAGTATAGAATTGCTATCTTTCTTGTTCAATTATTGTAGTTTATTAAAGGAAGTTAATGCTTATACTAGAGAGAAATATTCTATATGTATTGGTTAATAGTGTTAAGTGAAAAGTAAAGTTGTGAGAAACTAATGATTTCGTCAATGTTTAACTATTGATGTTAAAAGTATATACTATGTGGAAAGACCTAATAAATGTTGATGTATTTGGTTTATTGTCAGTCTTGGAATCCATTTCTTTATTCTAACTGTAAATTACCTCAAGTTAGTGACTCGTGAACTCCACTCACCAATGCAATCCTCAACTAAATAAATTTGGTGTAATCGGCAGTATAACCAAAACTCCAACGATTAGCCCTAAGGGTGCTGCCCATTACAAAAGCAAGTTATGATGCTGTAAATCTGCCACTTTTGGAAGAGAGGACGGACCACAGGTAGAATTTGTTGTAGCAGCAGAATCCCTGCTGAGCAAAGATGCTGGAAGGTTAATTGGTGAAGTTTTAATAGATGAAAACTTCAGGTGTCATCTGATCAAGTGAAACATGATAGGGAGATAGTAGGCTGTTAATTAATCTATACATTTGTTGTATATTGTGAAGGTAAACAGTTTAATAAAATATGTATGTGAACTCGTGGAAAATTTGAATGGCCTGTCATTAGCTATTACATGGTAAGAAATTAACAGTAATTTGTAGTGAACGTACACTTCGTTGAAAGTGACAAAATATATTTATCTATTTGCCAATTTATTTGTTTATTGATAGAATGACGTGAAATAGTCATATACCGAAGTTGTTAGTCGAATTGTTTAATTTAAAGAAGTAAAATTAGGACTTAGAAAACATATAGTGACAAAGATGGAATAGATTATTAACAGATCAATGAGGGTAGTGAATTATAAAATGAAATATGTATATAATAACAAAAGTATTAGGCAAAACCAATAGGTTTAGCATGATTTTATGAAGGGGAAAAATTTACAAATACACCAACATCTGGTGTGCAAAATGTGGATGCCAGTTATATTGTTATAACAGAAGATTATGGAACAAAGTGCTGCCAGTAAGTACAGAAAGTGTGAAAGGTAAAAACAAGAAATAAGTAGCAGTCAACATGGGTAAGAGAAGAACTCCAACTTCATTAAAGGTGAATTGATGACCAGGAAGACAAGAATCAGAGGTGATTAAAAAGGTATTGTTATTGCTAATAGTGTATGTTTACTCTTACGGACTTCTAACCGAAAAGATTGCCATTTTGTAAGTGGAGGGATTTCACATAGCAGAATTATACATGATTAAGGAGATAGCAATAAAAAAGGGTATTTTTTTGGGGTGGCTTGATAATTATTGCCTCCTACTGCCATTCCCAAACACTCTCTTGGGCGAGTAGACAGTTCAAGTGGCATGGACTTGAATGGAAGGAAAGACAGCATGACTTTGTACACATACCAGGCATTTGTGAAGATTTGAAACAAAACCTTAAAAAGCAAAATTGATTGCATAGATGTCCAGCCAACAGAAAATTGCCAATGACAAGTGTATCATGCCATTACCAGCCCAGGCCTTATGAACACTGTACAACATGAAAGGTGTGTGCTCTTTATGCATGGCTTCTGGACTCTTTTTTTTTTACCCTACAAACATTAAATGTGTGATCAAGAACACTGACTGTTTTATGATGTAATTATAGAATTTGTGTGAGTATTGATAAAATAAAGTATTCATGTGCTTAAAAATAGAGAGTATAAAGGATACACACAAACATACATACATATATATATATATATGCAATGTCAATTATATTATATGAGAAATGAGGTTATACATGTAATATTCTATGGATCATAGGGGATATTGTACTTGTTAATTAGTAGTATTGGAGTGAATTTATAATAAAAGTTTTTTCATGGAATTTTTTGTTGTTGTTATTCAATTAACCAACAAAATGAATGTTTAGTTAACATATATATGATGAAAGGAATAAAATGATAAGTCTTGTAATGTATACATTTAGTTAAAACATAAGAATCCGTGTTGAAAGAAGTAATATGGTGAAAATATAAATATTAAAATTTGGAACTATGTAGACATTGTTAAACACACTGATAGAGATAGAAGCACTAAGGTTGTGCAATAAAATTTTTATTGGAAATAAAAATTTCTTTTAATGGGAGGAATGAAGTAGTTGCTGAATTGCAAATATTGGAAGTTTGGGAAAATAAGTTTTAGGCAAAAACTGGAGAAATATAAGAATGGCAAATGTATATGTATATAGTGAAAACTTAAAGAAGGACCAGTTGAACAATATAAGGTCATGAAAATTTCTAATGCTCAGAAGCCCATGGGATTACTTGAAGTAAAGTACATTTCAGACTGTAACACGAGAAGTAGTGAGATTCCTTTAAAGAAAGCAACAAATGTTTATTATATTAGACACCATGACTAGATGAAGTGGCCCTATAAAAAATGAGTAATGGAACAATTAACAGGAAGCAACAAATGGACAAATATATATGTACAAGTTAGACACTTAACAGCTTATATTCATACACTTTGGAAGTTCATTGGTCTGATACTTATGCAGATCTAAACAAATGAATAACAAGAAATAAACCTGTTGTTCCAAGAAAAAGCCAGTCATTTTTGTCATTATGCTAGAAGACAACTTGTATGACGAATCAGTGGGAAAAGATCACATGTAAATATGTTAGCAAGGAACTTCTGAAAAGTTGTAATTATCCCAATGTATGCATATAAAATGTCCTGATTTTATGTAGCAAGGCAGTTGAAAACCTGATTTACAATTGCACTGAGCCTTGCACAAGATGCTGTTTCAACAATGGCAGTACTACAAAGCATTGAAAACACTCATTGGACAAACTCCTTGTAAGTAGTTATTGCTGTCTCTTATCTAGTCTAACAATGTTTTTAACAAATAATGTATAACGTCCAAAGAAAGAGAAGTAATAAGATTTAATCCAGCTGAATGTGTAAATAAACTGACAGAAGACACAACAGAATTGTAGAGAAGCCTACTAGAGGAATTGTTATTAGAATTACACAGCTTAATTATGTCTGAAGGATTATCCTGAGTTAACGTAATTTATAATTTGTTTACTGAGATTCAAAGGTTCTGTAAGGTCTTATTAATGAGTAAATTACTGTCCAAAAACAATGAATTCAATAAGTTTGATGTAGGATTGTTCCAAGTCAGTTTTGGAGAATTTGATGTAGATGAGTATTTGAATATCCTAAATTAAACTTATTTTGGGTTGTATTAACCAGTCTGTGAGTGAATTGTTTTATTCAAAACGTAAACTTCTCAAGTTGGTAGCTTGTGTGCTTAACCCATGACTGCATGACCTGGTAATAAATAAATTTATTTGTAACTCATGCAAAGTTGAACACATATAACTATGCCCAATGGCCCACCTGTTATACATTATACACATCATTTAAGTGTAAATATAAGCTTTGCTCATGTAATGCATACTCTATACTAATCATTGTGATGTTGTTATTGTGCCTTATTTCTTTTGAAGCTTTTATTAGAAACATCTAGTCTTCAAAAATACTAATTCCATAAAGTATCTTTTAATTACTGAACTGTAAACACTGGAACCTTTTATTAATACAAAATGACATTAAAGCAGCTGTTTTACTTTCCTAACATTACTTCCATACTGACTTATTAGGAAGCCAAATATATTCAGAACTAAAAGCATAGGTAGTATTAACATTAGGAGCAGCTATCAGTTGGAAAATGGAGTAATATGTAATGAAATTTTTACCATCACAGTATGATACTGCAAAATCCAAATTTTCATATCCTGAGCTACAAAATCTTCAGCAACACAGTGTAATACAAGTATTTAATTTGTTAGTGGAAAAAAATCAATTTTCTCTACCACCTCAGTATCTAGAGTCCACTAATTTTAGTGTATGTAAAAGTGGCAAAACTAACTGCAGGTTTCAATAAGACAGATGTGTTATTAATACATTTGTCACAAGACATTAGTATAAAACTATTACGCCTAATACATTATTAATATTGTTGTACATACACACAAGAAAAATTGTTAATTGCAGTCCTTTGTATGATAATTAAATAAAAAATAACACACACACACACAATTATTATTATTATATTTCCATTATTACAGCTTTAACATATTGGACCCATTAAATATGCTACGAAGGTCACGAAATCACTGCTTCCAAAAGCTCAAACATAGAATAACCCATGTTGTTGAAGAAATGAAGCTAGTAATCCTAGAACATCAAATCAACAAAACTTGTATCCACAGGACTTCCTGAATAAAAGGAATATTACATGAAGCCAAACACCAATGGATTTGTTACACCTTACTGTAAATCATCAATATGATAAGTTTAATTAAGCTTATAAACAACAAATTGCATTCTTTATATTCTTGGAATGGGACAAAATATCACTTCAATAATATATATTTCTCCTATTTTTTTAAACATATAATTTTCTATACAAACACATACCACTTTTTTTACTGGAGTGGGTGCCTCAGATGTAGGAATGGCTGAATTAGGATCACTATCAAAAGAAGGTAAAGTACAATGACTGTAAAAACAGCTATGTAATTACAGTGAAAAGTACTCAGAAACACAATTTCATACAAGGTTTAAAAATACAATTGTTATTTTAAGACTGAGAATAGTTAACACATAACAGAGTTTACTTTACAATCTAAACACTTTTAACCATGGCAAACAGTAGTATGAGATAAAACTTTTAAAGAAAAAGAGAAATTTTTCAAATATCTAACTCACTAGATTTCTTCTCAGTAACAAAATATTTTTCACAAAGTATTTGAATTTATGAAACTTACACATGAATATTTATTTCTTTTTTTTTTAAAGTGACCTTTATAAAGCTCCACTTATCATCAAATCAATGTTTAAACAAATTTTATTAGTTTTAAATCAGTCAGTAACTTTAACAATACTAACTAATGAACCCAAGTTTAGTACATAGAAAAATGTATGTAGCTGCAATAAGTTTTCTTCATAATATATCCATACAATTTAAATTACTACTACTTTCTAATGCATTGTACATTTTAAATTTGTAATAACTTTGTCTATAATACTTGAATGGCATAAAAATATCTCTGCTGTGATATTACATGACATATTCCTGTGCACAACACTTTTAACTGTGTTCTGAATAATTCTATACATTTCCCAAGTTACTTCATCAATAAGCTTCTGCATAGTATGTTTGTTACTTTAAAATAAGGGAAAAAAAAAAGTCAGAAAGGTTCAAATCAGGTGTAACTGGTGGTCAGGATAACCCATATTCATAGATGTCAGGGAACCTGTTTGAGAGGACACTACAATTCAAAGGTTTCTAAAAGAAAATGCAGCAATGTTTTCTATAGTGTTTTCACCTACGAGCATGCTCTTGAATCTTCCAAGTGGTAATACAATGTTGCCAACTTTAATACTGTTCACATGTAGTATGTCAGTTATTACAAACAGGAAATATAAGATGTATAAAAAAAGTTACCATGCAAGACATACTTTCATTAACTATTCATTATGTTTAGAATTCCTCAAATAAAACTCCAGTAAATGAAAATATCTAATTTTATTTATTATAACTACCATAAACAGTAGATTACAAATATGTATCAAAGATTCATCTTACCTAGAAGCAGTCAAATAACCATCACTATCTATTTCTGTAACCAAAGGACTTGCATTTTCTTTGTCTGTACAATATAAATACAAAACTTTTTCATTTCATTATCCTAAACCAACTAATGAATTTCAAATGAACAATCTAGATTTTTAAGGACTCTCTTTTTATGTACAAAACAACTTTTGTATGTAAGAGTCAAAAACAACACTGCTTAATTACTTTTGCTTAATTACAGCAAATTCAACATTAAATGAACCAGGTTATATTGTTAAATTATCATTACATATTTTTTATAAAAATAATTTTTCCATAAGCTGGAACCAGTATATTCCTTGTTTTAGATGTGTAGTGCAATAATTTAGTGTTTGTGTGGCTAGTACAATCTTAAAACTTTTCTGCAATTTTCAACAGTTTGAAATTTTATAACATTTTTAAAATATGCTTGTTTCTCTTTTTTTCCCATAATTAATCTACATGTATTTTGAGGATCCATGGGCTAGATTTACCACAGAAGTTAACAACAGGTGATAATACATATTTATCCTCAAGGGCACTGTATATTTTCTAGTATTTAATTTAAACTACCATACGAGATATCCATCAAAACAGCATTTTTTTGCATACTTTATAATGCCTAAATGGATTAATCATTAACTATGGAGGTTATCATAAACACAATTAATAACAAGAACATAAAGCAGGTGTAAGAAGGTTTTAAATGAGTATATGATTGACATAAACATTATGTTTTGTACAAACTGAAAATCACTAATACATATATTAAACTTCTGAGACACCCTGTTTTACTGTCTTTCGTTTTTATAAAATGTTCCAAAGCTTCTCATGAAACATTACCAACAGTAGGGCAATTAGTGGAAAGTTCTATTAGATTAATCATCTAGCTCATTAATCAATTACTTTCAATTAGTAGATCATTTTGACAAGACTTGGACAGTTGGAATAATCAAAAAGAATAACAAAAGGAAACATTAATTTTAATTAGTTGATTATTTTCACAAGTTGTGATACTAATTGATTAAGCTGAACAGCCTTGAATTAACCAAAAATAATAATGAAAAATCATGTTGGCAATATTTTGATTACATGGACAGTGGGAATAATCAGAAACATCAATTTCAGTTAGTTGGTTATTTTTGTGACATTAATCAATGTAATCATAATCAAAATTAATCAATTATATTGATTAATCAAGTTAATTGCCCAGACGTAATCACCAAAACAATTTATTCTCATCATTTATGCTTTTCTTAATGCTCACTAAATGTTATTTTAATGTACTTGCTACCTTTATTTTCTTAAATAAATAAAACAGTCCCAGAGCTTGGGACTTTATCACTAAATTAAACCAAAAACTTGAAAGTACAATATTTTAACCATCTTGCCATATGAATGTAGTGTGTATGTCAGTATCTATGTATGTAAACAAAACTCCTGTGCCATCTATTGAATGGCACCACAAACAAAAATCCATAAAACATTTCACACTATGGGTATTCAAGATCCAGACAATTAGAAAAATAACTGTGGTATGCAACAACCGTTTCTTTATAATAGAACACAATTTTAAATGAAAATACTCTCCTCACAACAAGAACGCAACTTTCACTAGGACTGTACGTGAGGGTTTGATTATATCTTTATTGATGTAATTTTTAAATGTAGTACTGAGAAATTGGAGTTCTTAAAAAAAATCTATTTTCCAATAAATAGTACCATTTTTAATATATAAAAATACTACACATTTATATCAGTAAGATTTATTAAAATTCTGAGCTCTGTACATTGAATAATTGTGATGTGACGAGTTGTAAGTGACTAAAGAGCCCAATCCAAACACTTTTCCTGTGCAGTACTTGCCAGAAAAAAAATCCCCTTTTTAGAAAATGTTAATTTTTTCTAAATTTTTTTCACTGAGATCTGAATACTACAATCAGTAATTACTAGCACAAACAGCCACCACAGGGTGGCATTTCTGCTAGTACTAATAATTGGTTTGTTGCATTCAATGTGAAGGGACATTATATATGAGCTCTATGCACCATCCACTCCATAAATGTTGGTGCTTTGTAGGGGCTGGGATATGCAAACTGTATGAACCCCAAGAATGCCTTTTGCAATTTCTATCTGTTGGCAGAATCAGTGTCCAAAGATCCTGAACAGATTCCAGTGGTTACTAATTGGCCCTAACTTATGATTAAAAGAGAAGTCCCCTACTTTCTACATCTTTCTTCATGTTATAGACATTTCATAATTAATATTTCTAGGACAGCTACACCTTTATCTGCTGTGACTAAGACTGTTAGGAATTTCAGTTACTGAAAAAAGTGTTTTATTGATATGTTGGTGTTAATTTTCACTCAGCAAAGCTATTCAACTGAAATGCTAAAGTTAGTGATGATATAATCAGAATAGTGTCACAAGTGCAGAAAGGTTTAAAGTATGTTATCACATACACAAGTTGTATGTTGATGGCCCATGAATGCCAGCACTGCACAACTGCTTGCAGTTGTAGTATTTGTCAAATATTACTATCCCCTATTTATATGGTAATAAGTGAACTAAGTGCCATTGAAACTATTAATGAACTTCAAAACCCAAGAAACTACGAATTACAAAGTTGCAGAAATACAAACTTGTGTGCAGAAGCTAAGGACATTACTCTACTCATTACTCCTAGTTGTAGCTGACACTCTTCTGGAGACTAATAATACTAACTAATAAGTATGCCATTACTGATTACCTTATAAATTAGTAAAATTTATGTATATTAGTAAAAATTCACTGATTTCTGTGCACAGTGTATAAAAGATAAAAAGTTGTTTTTCTTTCCTATACTCATAAGTACAAAAAATGGACACATCATTATTATCAGAGTACAGAAACAAAGTGTAAAAATTTTATAATTAAATCAGAAGTGTGTATGTTAATTTCTTTTACAATTTCACTAACTGAAAGGTTTATATTCATACTTTTATGAACCTGTTTTAAAGGGCTTCATTCTCATGCTTTTACTTTGTTAAAGGGCTCATTTTTGTGCAAAATAAACTTTGAGGCTGTATAATTTTCAAGATCACTTGTGCATGTCATGACATATGATGTGTGCCAGATCAAAAAGTAAGGTTAAACTGAAAACAGTCCTAGAATAAAGAAGAGTGAAGCTATAATATAGAGTACCCTTTTAAAACATAACCTATAAAATAAACATATTTTTAATTGAGTATATTTAGGTAATTCCTTAAAAACTTCAAAACAGTTTGCCTGTGCACAGTCAGGTGAAGTGTGTTAAAAGAATGTATTAGGCTATGTATTATGCTTATAGGGGAATTCCAAGGTTGACATAACAATAACCAAAATTCTTAAATGCATGCTAAAACACTGAAGACATCTAAAATAATTTATTGAATGGTGTATTCTGGAGGCCACCATTTGCCCTTCATTCTCTCTGCTGTGACATACAAGCATATAAAAAAGATACATGCAGGTGATTGGCTTAATGGGACACATACCTCTGTGCTCATGTATTTTACTATGTATTGTAGAGGCAGTCCAAATCATGGAAAAATATGCACAAATCTGTGGAAATTTGAAAGATATTTGCCAAAAAATTCTGTGGATGTGTTTAATACTTGAGGTAAGAATGGCTTATTACAGAAATATAAATCAATTAAACACAACTATATTAACATTTATAGGTAAAAGACTTAACTCAATGTATCAAGCATTTTGTCAGTAAAGTGAAAACAAAAATACAGAAATGTCATTTGTCCTTACATTAAAAATAATTCTGCAATAAAAAATGAGCTTGTCATTATAAATTGTACAAGTGATTTATTGCCTATACCGCTTAGCCAAACCACTCACATTCCCTCAATCACCCACTTGTCAAAAAAAACAAAACAGCAGCATAACTGTCTTCTGACTTCACCTGCTTACCTTATATAAATCATCTCTCTCATTTCTTCTTCTCTATAACTGTTTCATTTAACTTCTTTAATTGATTATTTTATTTTAGTTCACTCTCACCATCTTTTGACACATACATGAATTACATCTCAAACAGAAAAAAGTGTATCTATAACAGCAGACTTCTTTTTATTAATTTTTTAATCTAATTATAGAGTAAAATGTAAATACTACAGTGCAGTGACCAAGGTGAGTGTGTGTGTACAGAAGCAGAGGATACAGTACCAGGATATAGGGCACACTGATGTAGGTGGAGAGTGTCACGAGACAAATATCACCAAAGGCAATTAAGTAAGGTATAAGACTGGAGCAAGCAAGAAAAAATCAGACCAATGCTTAGATGGGCAAAGGAAGAAACCCTGGCAGTCGAGTGGAGGTAAGTATGTTTTGGAATTAGGAATTTAAATTATTACTATTTTTGATTATTCCAATTATCCAAGTAATCAAAATATTGCTATTATGTCTGTTTGTTATAAATTGTAAGCTACATAATGGGCTATCTGTGCTCCACCAAATTTTAGGCTTTTATGTTGTTACAATTTTTTTGAGCTTCAAGTTTTGTTGATCCAGAAGTTGGGGGTTCATGATTCAAAAGTCTCGGGTTCAATTTCCACTGCCACCAAACTTGTTCGCCCCATCTTTGTTACGACTAATAAAGCTATATGGCACCAACTGCCAACTAGAGGGAAAACACCTGTCTAGTAAATATCACTAATTAGCCAGTTCCAGTGTAAATGTAATATTTTCATAATTTCAGTGCTTTAGTTAATCCAAAAACTTCAGACTGTTTCTAGTAATATTTGTCTTAATCATTAACCAATCAAAATGAAAAATTAGTAAAACCACACACAATCAAATATAGGTATTATATATATATATTATATGCATAAAAACAGTTTATCAACTCACCACGATTATAGTTTTCATTGTCTGTATCAGAAAACCTTTTAACTAAGTCTTTGTCAAGATGATCCAAAATTACCACTGGATCTGAATTTAGGACTGTTGTCATCTTCATTTTTTTAAATTCATTAATGTTCTGAAAAAAGATTATTTCATTTTAATACTAAAATGATATATCTTTGTATATAATACCATAAACCTGAAATACAAACAAGTTTGTTTGTTAAATGGCTTTTTATACATCAATTATAACATTTAAAAGAGTAAGACTGCTTAAAACAGATGGTTTTTTTTTGCATAACAAAAGTCTATGTACCAGTCAAGTACACAACAAACATAACTCTAAAGCAGCCCTCTGAATAAAACCTCATTACTTAAATTAGTGAAATTCATGGTTTGTCTAAGAGATTACAATAATAATTTCTTTGAATATTTTTATCATCATTAACTTGAGTTTACTTGTACATGAGTAAGAATAGTGTTTATACTTCTATAAACCTAAAAAAAAGTTAAAAACAAAGCAAGTTAATCTGCTGCAGCTTCATAGCATCACTAGGTAATTTTGCAGGATTTTTTTCATTTATTAAGACAGTTTACCATACACTGGTAGATATAAAATCAAGACAATGAAAACTAAATATGAACCACACCGTACCACAAAATATATCTAAACACTTATGGCTATTTTCTGTAAAACTATGTATAAGAGTGAGTAGGTTCTTAAAAATCTACAAGTATATAGTCCAGGTACAATCTTACTACTTGTATTAACAATTTTCTTACAGAATACTAGACTTACAAGTATGCAATCCAGATACAATCTTACTACTTGAATTAATTACTTTTTTTACAAAATACTAGACATACAAGTATACAGTCCAGGTACAATATTACTATTAAATTAACTACTTTTTTACAAAATACTAGACTTACAAGTATACATTCCAGGTACAATCTTACTACTTGTATTAACAATTTTCTTACAGAATACTAGATTTACAAGTATACAGTCCAGGTACAATCTTACTACTTGAATTAATTACTTTTTTTACAAAATACTAGACATACAAGTATACAGTCCAGGTACAATATTACTATTAAATTAACTACTTTTTTACAAAATACTAGACTTACAAGTATACATTCCAGGTACAATCTTACTACTTGAATTAATTACTTTTTTTACAAAATACTAGACTTACAAGTATACAGTCCAGGTACAATATTACTACTTGACTTAATTACTTTTTTTTACAGCAAACTAGACTTACAAGTATACAGTCCAAGTACAATATTACTACTTGAATTAACAACTTTTTTACAGAATGCTAGACTTACTGAATCTTCTTTATTCTTTTCAGTGTATGATCTCTTAGGTGCTCTGTGCCTGAAGCCATTCGTTGTATGAGAAGATTCTATATCACTTTCTCCTTCATCTTCTCCATCTGCTTCTGCTCCTTTATCTTCTGCAATATCCCCATCACTCTCTTCATTATTGACCTCAGTAGCAGAGGGTTCATCTTTCTTAGATTCCTTTTTGTTCTCTTCAACATCGTGTAGTTCATCAGATTTTTGTTTGTTTATAGACTCTGCTACACTATTTTCAACATCACCTTCTTCATCCATTTTATTGTTTTCAACCAAATCCTCTGTTTTTTGTGATTCCGTAGATGACACAGATGAATGAAGTAATACTGAAGATTGATATTTTTCAGCTGTACTAAGTTTACAAGAGCTTTTCAATGATTTCTTTCGTGCAGCTGCACTTGCACGAGTTATCCTATTCAAACTTGTACGAATATGGTATCTCATTAACGAGGTACTTCTCCTTGTTTCACTCATTCTAGCTGCTTTTGCTAAAATAAGTTGAGAATTTTGACCTTTGTTAACATCCGACACCTTTTTAACTCTGTACTCAAGAGGTGTTTCTTCCTTCAATTCCACAGCATTAATCACAGCTTTTGTATTTATCTGGTTAGGAGTGTGTGCATTTGATTGAATTATGTTGGTAGGTGACTCAGCTACTGATTCAATGATTTTGATAGAACAAGCTGTCTTTTTAAAAGGTGATACTATTCTTTCTTCATATGCCTGTACCTTTTTCTTAACGCTTTCTTTTTTATAAGGTGAAAATATCTGGTTTTGTTTACTAGGCATTTTTTTCTGGTAGTTTGGTGCTTTAACCTTGGGGGTATGATTAATTTTCTTTAAAACAAAAGGGGATGCATCTCTTGTTAAATATACTGCTGCTGTGGAAGTGTTTAACTTCTCAGGGTTTAACCGATTCAAAGTTTTATTTTTTGCAGCTCTAGTGGTTCTAGGTTTAACAAGAGGAGTACAGTTTTTAGGAGTGAGATTATTCTGCATGGGAGTGTTTAAGACAGGTTTTTTAGACATTTTAGTTTCAATTATACTTTGCACTGCACTTACAGTTGACCCTGAATGACTTTCTTCTTTAGCACTGCTCTCACTCTTAATACTGTTTCCTGTTGGTTCTGATTGATCATCAGGTGAGGCTAAATAATTGGTAGGCTCTTGCTTATTATCTTTAAATTTGATGTCATTTCTACTCCTACTTCTTTCCTTTTCGTTGCAAATATCCTCTAACATAACCAATAAATTATTTTGCAAAGGCTCAGAAGCTTTTTCAGAAGAATCACTGATTGGACCTGCTTCCAATTCTTGGCAGCATTTATTCTCTACACGATATTCAGCTTGTTCAGAATTGTTCTCTTTTGGGGATTTGTCTGTGTCATCAGATAAACCTGATTCTGAAATTAGTTTTGTACACATTACAGAAGCAGATTGTAAAACTTGTCCTTGATTATACTTCTGAAGTTTCTCACGGTTACATTTTTTTGAAGGATCTAGTTTTTCGTGATCTAAAGATTCTTTAATCTTTGATACTGCAGCTCGGGATGCTGCCCGTCGTAGTGTACGAGTAGACTTGTTTTCTTCTGCACTTGAGTCATCATGATCAGGAGTACTTTTTCTTTCTCTGCAGAAGTATATAACAATTTTTACTTCATTTTGCAATTCATAATAATAATTGATAAAGAATAAGAAAGTTGTACTTTTGTTTAAGCCAGAAATATATCAAATCTAAAGGCACAAACACTTAAGACAACTTGTAAAATACTTGCAGAATATTAGAATACATACACGAGTGGTCAAATTCCCAAAAATTTTTAAATTGACAGAAAGAGTGGTGGGATGTAAAAGGTTCTTACTTTCATGGTATTTTTTCTGTTTAAAAGTTAAAATGATGCATTCTAAGCTACTTCCGAGTGGTTAATAATGGAACAAATGAAGTAAAATTACAGTTAATAAATGTTAAATTTGTACTGTAAAAGGACTTGCCTAACAATTTCTTTTGTATTCTGTCCTCCCATAAAAGTATTACACCAGTATCCTTCACAAGCAACTGTTACTATGTGTCAAGGTGTTAATGTGCAAGTTAATTACACAACTTCAAACAATGTGTTAATTTTCTAACTATTATACACTACAAACATCAAATTTTTTGTTGCTTGGAGTGAAAAATCATTGCTTTGGCAACTTACTCTCTAGGGCTTTGTAGGCCCTATTGACTGATTTCTATCACAGCTCTTTGGCCTTTCACTTTAACAAACTGGATGTTAAAGAGATTGCAAAAAGTATCTTAATTTTACTTGACATTAAAGCTGTACTTAGCTTGATCTTCCTTTGTTCTTTTTATTTCTATTTTGAGGACTTTAAGTTTTGTGTTTATGTTTTTAGAGTATTAAGTCATGGAGGGGGTTCACATTCTACAAATGGCCTCAGCATTTTCAAATCATAAAATTCCAATGGGAGAAGCAAGAGAAAGCATATACTGAGCAGTTTAGTGACAGGATGAATGATTTTTCAGTATCCAATAAACTACTGTGTAACAAGTTGGTATAACCAGGGGACAAAATAGTTTGGTGGATTTGATTAGCAGATAGCAAATATTACTTAGCATCTTTTTAACATTCATCATTTTAACACATTATGGCAACTAAATCCAGCACTAAAAGTATTAACTCTGTGTAAAGACATCAACTAATGAAAAAGAGGTAAATGACATGTTTTTATTCTAATAAAACTTTTATTCAGGTTCAAACCCTAATATTTAATTGTACCATACATGGCATTTCATGAACAAAATAGTTCCTGGTATATAAATTAAAACTTCAAAACTGCAAGAAATACCAAACACCTCAGTTGTCACGAAAAAATGCAACGATCGATTAGCCAGAGAAAGAAGCGACTTGAAGATATATTACAACTTAATCTACAACTTTTCAAATTAATCTAGTTTTTTCTTTTTCTAGTGAGGCTTCATCACTCTCTTCACAGCATGGTCTCTTTCGCTTTTTAAAGAAAGAAATATCTAGCAACTTCTCAACAGTAATTACCCCTCTTGCCATGGGCATCCTTTACTGTGCAATGCACTAGATTTTTAGTGAATTACATTCAAAATTTAATAAAGCTACCTTTTGTTTGTTTATGTTATACCAGTTAGTATAGCATAAAATTGTAGCTAATAATCCATATCTTAAAAATATACAAGTTTTAAGTTCTTAATTTTATAAGGAAATAATAAAAAAAGATTCTAAATGTGTGGGAAATGTGGCATTTATTCTCTAGGGATCCCCTCTTCTCTAATGTATTTATAACCTCCCCAAGAAGTATGGAATTTAAAGTCTATTACTTATTATAATATTGTCATCACTCAAAGAAAGCATCATTTTCATAGCCTTCAATTTATTTTTAACCAATAGAAAGCCAATGTTTCTATCTGTCAAATGATATTTTATATTATGTTGTTTTCTTTACCAAAAAATTTTAATTTCTCTTTCAGTAGAAGCTTCGTTTCCATGGGAAACACATCAACTAGCTTGGATGTATTTGTAACAGCTCTTGTCACATAATTAGAAAGTCAGAAAAATTGTAATAGTTATAGGACATTGCTGCTCTTTCCATGTTATTATTCTATGTTCTTTGGTGCATTATTTAATTAAATAAAAATTATTCAGTGCACAACTACCAATAGTATAAAAAAGTATGGTAAAGTGCCATTGACAGTTGACAGCAAATAAAAAGAAGGCCCAGGAAAGTACTTTATTTCTTGTTTTTCATGAATATTCTTTATTTATTATTATAAAAGTAACTAAAATGTAAAAATAGGTATCTCTTTAGGTAAGTTAAGATTAGATAAAAATATTTCACGAGGCACGCATGTGAGCAGCTTGGTGTAGCTAGTGGGTAATATAATTCGATAGTGTAACGTGAGCTGTACGTTCCCCAAGTGATTTACATCTTATAATGGCACCAGTAGTATTAGTAGTTAGATACGGCTCAAAGGGAAGTAGAACAATAAATTTTAAGTATGAATAGATGTGCAATGTTATGAGTTTAAAGCTATTTAGGATAAACAAAAGTAACTTCACGTTACAATATGAAGTCATTATAGAAAGAAAAAAATGATATTTTAGATTTATTTAAATTTTTCTTTTGGTGGTTATGAAGTCTGTTAAATTGACCAACCGTGTATAGAGTTAGCATCGAGAAAATAATAACGATAAAATACATAAAGTTTTACTGAAAAAAAACGTTTGAAATATATTTAGGAGGTTTTAGAGATTACACAAATGACATTTGAGATTTTTAAGATGAAGAAAGGTATTTTTAATCTGAACAAGAAAGTCACTTTGCACTCGGACTAGTAAAAAAAGACTCAATATATTCATGGACAATTAAGTAAAAATACTTCATTAAAAAATGATTTTGTTTACAAATGCCTTGTAATGTTTACTAAACATCTACCAAATTTTGTGAAGATACTGTATTAAAAGTTAATTAAAACTATATACAAGTAAAAATGATCACATGGTCGGCCACTGGGACTGAACCCGTAATGAGAGTTCTTAACTAGCTCAATACTAAATGTGCAGTGCATGTACTGTACGTACATACTCTAGTCTAGTTGGCTAGGCTGCGGGAACCAACTGGGCACATTCCAACATCATGAAGAGATTACTACAAAGTGTATGTGTCTGAGATATGTGCATGACAAAGCGTGAAAATACTGTATGTGCCATTTGGCTGGAATTTCCGAGAAATGAACATCAGTTTTGGATTTGGTATATCAAACTGAAACATTCGGCACTTTCATTGTGTTGATGGAGGTCTCAAAGACAACATGCAAGAGAAAGGAATATTTCACAACTGGGGTTGTTTTGAAACACAAATTGTGGTGCGAACCCGGATATTTCGTTCCCTTCCCCTGACAACACAGACTTGGTGGCAGCTGCAAACCATGACAAAATGTAAAAAATGATCTAGGGCCCATTCTAATGCAAGAATTCTCCTACAGATATTATGGTTACATTTTATAAGTAGTACTTTTGAGTACAGTACATTGTATATGTTCCTTGAGAGTATAATACATCACTTTGTTTGTCTTTTATAATTGTCAATGTCTATAAATATGTGTGAATCTTGAAGTTTTTTAATTTGGTAAAAACGAAGACATAGAATAATCTTTAGAATTGAATTAAGTAAGACTGATTTTCATGTTGAGATTGCTATTAAGACCAAAACCAATTTGGCTTTGAGGCCAAAACTAGATCTCAAGTACTCAAAATTACAACACCTATCACATCAGGTTTTAAGTAGCTACAGACCTTTTCAACAGTTAACTGATACAGTTTAACTGAATTAAAAACAAAAAAAAGCACTGATAACCCATTTCCATTCAAAAGCCACATTTAAACAATGCATAATGAGAATTCCACCACTCACCTACATACTTTATCTAGTTTTACAATCATGTCAAAAACACTGAAAACCAGACACTCTTTGCACACATTAAAATATGCACCAACTGCATTAAATTTCACTTCAGTTTGGGTTTTCATAACAGTTATGACTGAGAAGAGAAACCTCATGAATATGGAGGGAATACATTTTCTGGGAGCCCATGGTCCGAGAAGCTGATGTCAGGAGTTGGGACACTCAAATAGGAGCGGAACTAGGACCCCTTGTAGAAGCTGAGAAGCCAATGACGGCAGCAATGAATGCAGATGGGCGACATCAACTCTTGATTTCAAAGACTGGTCAAAGAAAGGAGACCTCACTTACTCATGGAGGGCAGCAGAAGGTAAATGAGCACCCTCCAACAATGCCTCTCTACCCAACACATCCCAACAGCATACCATATGTTATATATAGTTCCAAGATAGAGGGTGCACTGACATAGGTGAATAATATTACAAGACAGATATTGCCAAGGGCAATTAAGTGGGGTACAAAAGACTGGAGCAAGCAAGAGAAAAATCAGACCAATGCTTAAATGGGCAAAGGAAAGGAAACCCTAGCAGTCAAGTAATAGCTGTAGTGTGAACAGAGGTAAGTATGTTTTGGAAATTACTTTCTATGTAGATTGCAAATAAATAAAGATTAAAATACAACTGTATGGATTTTCTTTTAATGTTTATAAAAGTATCTTAAGTATAGGATCAACCGATTTAACAAAAAAAAATGTTATAATGAATGTTTATTGTATAGTTTGTACGTTATTTTAAGTTTTTACTGTCATGAAAATGATAAGTAAGCACAAGCCCACTTTGTTAAGGTAACTTAATTTATTTTTCTTTTCTATGCATCTGAAGAGAAATCATCCTTCTGTTTATGCTGATTAAGAAAAGTCTCAGAAGTACTGCTTCAACTTCTAGTTTATAGCCATCTGTTGCAGATTTTTTTTTCAAACAAAATCTTCAGAGTATATGAGAAATCATCCAGAGTAGAAGAGGTTTTCGAGGTCATTTGTAGAAAACATAATTATTAACTGCTGCCTTCCACTCTCTATTGCTGGAAATGACTCCTTCCAGAAGTTTGTTTCTGAGTTTAATTCAAAGGTAACACTTCCCTCTCAAAGACATATTGCATCAAATCTAATTCCTAAGCTACATCAAAGCAAGTCCAAAGCTGTGCAGGAGTTGCTTCGAACCAAACAACATGAATGTACTCTGGATGTGTGGATAGATTGAACATGTCTCTTTTTCCTCACCATAACTGCTCACATCTTTCTTGAATTTGAGCTAAAATAATGTCTCATCACATTTGAACAGCAGAAGGGTAAGCACAATAGTGAACATATTGCAGACAGAACTAAAAATGTTCTTCAGCAGAATTCTCTGTATTCAAAGATAACATACTTCGTAACAGATAATGCAAACAATATGAAAGCCTTTACAGTATTCAAACAACTGAGATCCCCTGAAGATGCACAGCTAAACATTGAACAACCAATCTCACTGGCTGACGATGAGGTTAAAGAGATAAGTTATCTCTCACACAAGTCTTGGACAACTGTTATGCTTTGCACACACTTTACATTTTGTTGTGAGAGATTGGAAAAGCTGGGCAGTTTTAGAATTACCATTTCCAAATGTATAAAGCTTTCTAGCTTGTTATACCAAAGCACCCAGTTTAAAGAGGCTTTTGAAGGTAAATTTGTTGAAAATCATTCCAAGCACCAACATTACAAGATTGATGGCCGGCTGCAGTTAATAAGCTTGATCCAGTAAAACTTAATCAGCTGTTATGTGATGTTTTCAACAAAAAAGCATTAGATATCTTGGAACAATCTGCTGAAGCAACAGAAGTGTGCCAGGGAGCCAAGTATGCTACAACTGGTGTTGTGGTGCCATCAACTGTTACACTGCATCAAGCACTTGCTTACAGCTAAAACAACTATGGGAATGGTAGCAGGTGTAAAACGTCATGCATCAGTTGTCAATGATCTTCACAATTCTCTGTGCCACAGAATTGCAGGTTTGTTGCAGCTCTTGCAAATCATTCCACACACTGATTTTGTTTATAAAAGAATACAGTCTTCCAATGGCTAGTATCCTGGTTCCAAGTTTCCATTTTATTTGTTTGAAAAATGATCATCCATGATCACAAGTAAAATCCACCAAAAAGAACAGTATCCTTGATGCTATACTTCAAAAAGCTGATAGTCTTCCTGATGCAGAACCAACTGGAAAGGCAGGCAGAAGCAGCCCAGGGTTTGCAACTCAAAATGAAGAAACAGAGAACCAGCCTCAACAAAAAAAGCCCATGTGCTGATTGTTCTCATTTAGTTTTTTTCCTCATATGCAAAGCACAGACAAAAACCTGCACACATCAGTCCTCAGCCAGCTTGTTAACTCTTGTTATGTCAGCTTTGGATATGATTCCAACACTTTTTTGCACTAAAATACCCTTGGATAAGTTTAAAAGAATATAACCTCTTTTGAAAACTCAGCCCACTGTATAAGATATTCTGCATCCCTTCCACAACAGAAGAAATTGAAAGAGTCTTCAGCCAGGGCAACATCTTCTTTACAACATATCAAGCAAGACAATAACTATCACTATCTCAGTGTTATGCTAAGTTCTGAAGAATTCTAGTGTTCCTCTGCTCAGAACATGTCTCAGTAATATACTCCTTTGTGTTAACAGTTCTCTGTGAAAAAAGTTACTAGTTTCAGTTCCAATTTGCCCCTTAACAATTCCCATTTGTATGTACCTTTCTTTTCTTGTTAAATTTAGAACAGCCAAAAATATTTCCCCTTTTCACCCAATTTGGAATAGTCAGTGCAAGTCAATTTGTCTCACCGACTCAGTGATTCATCGGGAGGAATGAGACAAAGCATGTGCCCTCTGCTCTGATATTTTCACTATAAAATCCATCTGCTTAGCTGTTGCACTGTTCTGAGAATATGATGCAGTTGGAAATGTTAACACTCTGAATACACAAGTATCTGGCAGACCAGTTTTGCATCACCCACTGGGAACTCCACTCCAAAACCAACAATGGCTAGGCATTGCTGTAGCCTATAGAGACAGTGACACATCTTGAACTCTGGGTGGAGACTTTGCAAGATATGCCTCTCGAGATTCCTGATGTGTTCATAATTTTTTCTACATAAATATTTTCATTAACCTTTTCAAGGAATGTTTTCCTAAGTGGAAATACAGTAAATATAAAAGTGAAAATAACTTTTTTTTAAATTGTTCAAATTTTTGCATTTGTTGTTTATGAAAAAAAAAAAATTCTAAAGAAGAAGACTAGGAAATACAGCTCATAACAACGTTTTAAAACCAATATCAACCCAAAGTTTTCAAGAGAGTAACTGTATCTCCTAAATCACATAAATGTACATTGTTGTGGTTCTTAATTTATTTTGGTCATTTTATTAACACAACAGCCATAAATTCCATCTAAGTATTCATATTTATTATGTTGTAATTGGCTCTATAGTTCTACTACTATTTCATTTCAGCAAACACTTAACAACCATATGCTTAGGGCTGGAGAAAGGCAGTGCTGTGACAGCTTTATTATTTTCTTGGAATGCATATAGACTGGACTACAGGCAGAAACATAACTTATGAGATGGTGTCCTTTGGACTTTGAACTCAAAGAAATGAAGCACATGTCATTTGCTTGCAATGTATGTTTATTTCAGAAACTGTTGGTTTCCATGTGATACAAGGTTGTTGTTTGTACACTGATATCTGGTTTGCAGCCAGTACTAAAGAATGAGAAAAAGCAGAAATGCAGTAATTTATCATACCTAAAAATATAGGTGCACAGATCATCTTTATGTGATTCAATACACAGAAAAATCTGGAATGCAATAGAATTTTAAAATACTTTAGTACTTTGCTACAGCTTGATATTAAGCATATTTAGTACCACACAAGTTCAAGATAACACGAACTGTAATGAATGTTTTGTTTTTTTGTCTTGTAAACTTCCTGTTCAAATTTCTAAGTAAGAGTTGTCTTGTTTGTTTAACACTTTCTTAAGGAGGGAGCTTCTCCTTCGAGAAAAGTATGATGTTAACCATAACAGTATTATTTCTTAGTCAAGTTTATTTCTGCTCACAAATAAAGTTGAAAAAAAAATGTACATGAGAAATAGCCTGCAAAACTTGTCCTCAATTGTACATTAATCAAGTTTAATACAAAAATTATTTTTAACTTTCTGAATATAGATACGTAAAAGAGCACGTCATGACATTTTTTACGGAGTTGCATTCAAAATTTGTTATTGCCAAGTAAGAGAAATATTCTATCATACTTACAGCTTAGTTACAAAACTAATTAAATTATAATAGTTGTAAGATATTGTATTATTTGTGCATGCTATTATTTTCTGTTCCTAACTGAATATTTGATGTAAACGTAAAGTACTAAAAATAACCTACGAAAATTAGGGTTAACTTTTTAATTAAAACTTCGAATTCAAAAAAAGTACAAAAACCCACTCATAACCACTAAATCTTTTGTTTTTATGTGTATATTTCATTTACAAAAGTAACAAAAATGTAAAAATTAGTATTATTTGGCTAGATAAGAAAACAGAAATGAAAAAATCAAATAAGAAGTTCTCAGGGAGGTTTGCATGTGAGCTCAACATGCATCCCATAATTCAACACTATATTACTTATGTTTAGTAATTAAGATATGGTTCAAATGGGCATAAAACAATAAAATAAAAATATATGCAAACTGTTATCAGCCTGAGGATGTTCAAAATAATGAATTCTGATTTTCTGTTACAATCTACAGTCATTCTAGATATAAAAAGGGTAATTTAGATTTATTTCATATTTTGTTATGGTGCTTACAAGGCAGTAAAATGTACTAAGCTAATATAGCCAATTAAGATAGATAAAATATAAAGTTTCCATGAAAAAATTTTCTAATATTGAGTTACAAGGTTCCAGAGAATGTGCAAATGAAATATGAAGACTGTAAGATGAATAAATTTTTTACTTCTAAAAGCTGAGTTTAGTCAAGTCTTCAGTAAGAAATATACTTAAAAATCTGATTTACTGCATAGAAAAGACTACTAATGTTTACTAAAACATTTTGTGATGATATACTTATAACATTTGTGTAAATGAGCCCATATACAGAGTTAAATAACTAAAGGTTTTTGGTGATAGCAACAAAAACAGACTTAATATTCTGAATAAAAAATTCCTAAATATAAAGAAAATCTGACCTTTTTTTTAATGTTTTCCTTGAAGGTCCATCATCTTCACTAATTCTGGGAAGTTTGGCTTGACGTTTCCTCCTCATGCATGGTGTTTTTGGCAAGTAAAGTTGGTTAGGACTATGAGGATATTTGTAATACACACACATATATATATCAAATGTCACACATCTGTACTTAAAAAACACACCAAACAACATATTCAACAAACAACAGTTATCAGCTCCATGCCAGTTTAATTTTAAATGGATAAATACAGCCAGTTGATGCTGTTGTATCACTTGCATTAAAAAATTTGTTTTCAATTAAAAGTTCTTACAAAATACAGATTTTCATTGTTACTTTTAGTAAATTTAAGTCTTACAATCAATTTATATCATATGTACTGAATGTACACAACAGAACCATCATAAAGCCAATAATAAGCATGAACCCTTACATGTTTTTCTCTTCTATCCAAAAAACTAATGTAGGTAAGGTGAACTTTTCTGTGCCTTATGAAATTTTTATATAGAAAAAAACACTTGATACTGTTACTGCAAATTATTATATGTCATGAAATATCTTGTGTATAAAAGCTATCAATGGTTCCACTTTTCTTTTCAAGCTCCATGTAGGTTAGCAAATTATGTTAACAACAGCTTTATATATATAGTAAACACTCTTTAACAGTACCATTTAAATATTATATTAATACCAGATTAACCCTACAATTATCACTGAGGTTCGACCAAATAGCTTTACAAATATATTTTTCTAAATATTTGTGCACCAAGTTGCTTGTGGGTAATTAAAACGTTCATAATAACTTTACATGTTACACAAAAAATTTAAGCAAAAATCAAAAATGCCATGAATACTGCACTTAATCCCAATAATTACTAATGGTATCCCTTGCACATGTTACATTCAAAGTTAGTGATTTCACACAACTTTATCAGTTATTTATGTTTAGTGTTATAGCAGGCTAAAAAATACATGTTATAATGCAGTATGTAGACCTCACCAAACATAAATGGTAGGAAAGCACCAAATGAGCTTTTCTTGGTTGATATCGATATTTGATAGTTACCCAATAATGTTGGATGATACCAATATTTAGAGAACAAAAGACAGTTTCAGCTTCAACATGCAATGCAAGTATGGGGGAGGTAAATTAAACTTAGTGGTGCAACCTCAGACTTTGTGCACTGCATCAGCCACAACCATGCTGTCACGAGTTTTGTAGACACAGACATCAGAATAAAAGTCTAGTATTATTCACATCCTTTTCAATATGGATCATGATGTAAAAAATGTATGAAAAAAAAAATTGGTGCATTTGTAAAAATAATCTTATTATTGAATAGTCACTAACATCCAAATGCTTATAATCTTAAAAAAACACATTACTATTTCAACTAGCTTAATATTATGAAGATCAGTACTTGGAACAGTTGGCAACATTAAAACTGGTGGCCTTCACAGAATGGTACATGGCCATGGTAATGGTTGTGTAACAATGGCTGTCATAAAAAAAATATGAAATTCAACATGTAAAATTATAGTTGTGCATTATCTGCTACAAAAACAGTCAATAATGTAATTTTTTTTTCAAGTTTGTGACAGGTTGATAGCCCACTGATATACCGGTGTATCCCAAGTGAATGATATAGTATAAAAAAACAAATTGGTAATTTTGAGCATTAATTAAACATCATGATAAGACAGAACTGAAACCCAAGTTCAAACACCACTCAACCTAATGTAATAAGACTCGTTGATGTCTTTCACTTACTCAGACAGGGATTTCTTGGCTTCTTCATAGATCTCTTTTAACCAGTCAAAGTTGTTGTTCCATTTTTCAACACATTCATTTATGAGTTTTTGAGACTCAACAAAGGGTCTAGAGAAAATTTCACTGTCCATTATACTTGCAAGTGACAGAAATGTACAATGAAGCTCTGAAACAACACAGATTTAGTGATTAAAAAAAGTTTCCATAAACTAACAAATACCAAAATTCTCCCATATTAAAAGTTACTTAAGAAACAAGCAGTTTTATGTAAGAGATGTATTGAATGCAGAAAATGACAATATGAAATCCAATTGTTTTCTATAAATATGCTTTTATTCCTGCAATTATTTATAACAGGTTGATAATAATTATGCAAATACAAAGGCAACACAATTTTCCAGTTGATATTTAATCAATTCCTTAAAGACTGATGATGCCCTTCAACCTGTACTTAATATTTATATGAATACAACCTATAATGTTGCCTTAATAATAGCTAATGTATTCTATATAAAACGCTTTAGAATCTTTGTAACAGCTGTATGCACAGATCATTATTAAACTTTATTATATAACATATATTAAAGTTAAACTTCAATGTGTGCAATTATTAAAGCAGTAAACTAAATAACTATGACGTAGGTGGATTCTTGCAATGAATGAAAATAAAATAAAAATAATCACTGTGATATCAATAGGCCAAGCAGGCTGTTTCACAACAGGTCTAATCAACTCATCATTACAACACTGCAACTATAAGTAAAGGCCTTTTGGTGTGCCTAGCCTAACTTTAGTACTGTTTGTATCGGGACATGGGGGGCTATATTTATTTACTTTCACGTCAACGAATACATGCTAACAATCACATGATATCAACAACCACTTGATAGTATTGCCTGAACTAACTGCCTTTGGTCCCATCTAAGTCTAAACATGTACACTGATTGGTTGAATTGAGAGAAAGAAGAAAAACAAACTGGCATGAAATTAGTAACATGTGCAAACACAGCACTTCATTCCTGAAAAAAAAATGAAGTGCTGAATCCACCATCAAAATCCCAGAAACAAAGTTCTATTTCAGATTCAAAGAATGCAAAAATAGTTCCGGACTTCCAAGAGCCCAGAACTGTTTTAGATTCGAGTTATATTCAGCACATCCCTATGCACAAATAAAATACTAGCTGCCACAATGAAATTGTTAGTTGCCATGGTGACCTGGCACCCAGGATTTGTCAACCCCTGTATATATATATATATATATATATATGTACACACACACAAACAAATATATATATATATATATATATATATAAAGTAATAGGAAAGTCATATAAAGCCAGTCTAGAAAGAGAACATCAGTATTGACATTTTCTGGCTATTGTGAACCTGTATAATGGAGTCAAATTCCTACACCAACAAACTCCATTATAACAATTTTTTTCACTCTACCTGATTTAGCTATGCTGATGAGTTATGATCTGTCATAATTATGAAACTATGACCAAACAGATATGGTTGGAATTTTCTACTCCCCATGCAATGTCTAAGCATTCTTCTCTGTTGCTGCAGGAAGCTTTTCTCTTGCAAACAATTTTTGTCTAAGGTATGATACTAGGTACTCTTTGTTTCTGATGTTCATCTGGCTGAACACAGATGCTACAACTCTATGTGATGCATCATCTTGTGCTATAGCAAAGAAATTCTGAAGGACAGAGGCACTACATATTTTAAGATCTTGAAAAAGTTTTGTACTTTGTTCATCCCAGTGCACCTAATTGGGCTCATACGTTTTGGTTTTGTCAATGAGTACAGAAGCCATATCAGCACAATTTGGTATAAAATGACAGCTACAGTGGGTAGAACTCAACAAATGAACCTGACATTTAGAATAGGGGGAAAAAAACCTGAATTAACTTATTGTGAGGTTTGGCTATTCCTTTCCTAACAATATAGCCACAATAATGTATTTCCAACATATCTAAGTAGCATTTTCTCAGCTTGACAGTAAGGTTTCGCTTAACTAAGCCTAGCCAAAAGTTCATCCAAGTACTATGGGTGTTCTTCCCATGTACAGCTAAACACTGCAATATAATCTATATAATTATATAAAAATTCTTCTGAGCCTCTTAAAACTTGATCTAGTAACCTTTCAAATGTTGGTGGATGTAAGATTCACTGACCTCTTTATATAACCCATATGCTTTTAGGGTAAATGGAGCTTTTAAGATACTAGTACTTACTGCAGCATAGAACCTACTATTTTCTTCTGACAACCTGTTTATGTACCTTCTGGTACATGCTAGAATCAGTTGTTAGTTGCTTATTTGGATCCTGCTCATATGCTAAAAACAAGCAGACTTTCATTTTTTAAAATAATAATTTAATAACCACTCAGTATGGTTTGCCTAGTAGTATAACAACAAGCTGGTGAGCCATTGCAAGCATGAAATGTTTTACTAAGTAGAAAACTTTAGAACACTTAGAGTTTGAGAAAATAGAAACATGGTTTATTTATAACATGTATTGACAACATTGGGTACTGATTTCTCTTCATTCTCACTCTGTCTTCTTTACCTCCTCTTTTATTACTTCTTATACAGAGATATTACAGTAGCAATGATAATCAATTAAACATACAGCATACTTAAAATTCTTACCTAATCTTCAAATTTCACACACAAAAAAATACAAAGACAAAGGATCAGAATCATCAACAGATTCATAAGGCACAAAATGTAGTCTTAATGACGAACAAAGAATCACAGAATTAATAAATAATATAATATAGTGCAAGAAACACTACTTTAGCCTCCAGTCACTGTATTATGAATGAAAGTATTACAGTATTTCCTGTTTAAAAGTACTAAAGACCATGAGCTGCACCACAGGTTGTCAATCACGTCTCAGTGGTTTATAGAAAGAGTATAGCATACATTCCTGCTCTCACAACTGCTATGGTTTGTGAATTTCTTTCCACATCTTCAATGGTTTCATCAACCTGCAATAAATGTTTTATTCTAATCCAACATAAAACCTACAAGCATTAGTAACTTTAGGCATACAATTAGCAATGTCTAATTAAACAATGTAGGAATGATGTCAAAAAATTAGAAGCTTCTACCAAGTATTAAGTTTTTTTTCCCAGGGGAATAAGGCTCACCATGTTGTCTCTAGGGTCAGCAATCACATTTGACCAGACTGTCATCAAAACAACTTCTTGTCATTAAACCCATGTGGCTAATACACCAATATATACTCATCTTTCAAAGTTAGCATTTGCTGATACATTCATGCTGACGGTCTCATACCCAGATAACTAATGATGCAACAGCTTAATCTTTATCCACAGAAGTAGATATATATGGTTTGTACACTCAGCCCATTTTTGAAGTTATGCATCAAATGGAGACCAGTTTCGTTAGTTTTAAGTCACTGTCAAGACATCACACACACAGATATATATATATATATACATATGAAAATTATACATAATCTGACAGTCAATAACATTAATGAAAATACTGAGTGCATCATATGTCCTACTTCATACATCAGCATCTTAACATTCAGATCAAATCCTTTATTTTCGTATCTTAATTGCCTGACAAATGGCCCTGTCATTCTGTATATCAATTAATTTGTGTGATACAATATTTAATGATTTTATATAATGTCCATATCTATGTGTGTGTGTGCAAAAAACACACATATATTCATTATTCATACACAGATAATGATATATACAAGTACATCAGTATATTATTCCAAATACTTAGTATCAGGTAGACTGCTTAAGGACTTGCATAGAGTACTATGGCAACTACTTGATCTCACCAGCAGTATCTCAACAGCTTTGCTGTTTGCTATCGTACTGTTATATATGAATCAATAAACTTGAACTTTCTTTTAGCATTATGAAAATACAGAATATAGACAAACCTTATTCAGGCAAAATTAGTAATTACTATGTCTAAAACAGAATACATAAATACACACTCCGACTCAGACTGACACAAGCTAAACCAATAAGACAGTATAACGTTGTATAGTAAGTGTTAGACCTAGTCATTTCTGTCTAGATTCAAAAACATCATAAGCACCTATTTGATAGTCTATATTACACATTGTGCTATATCACCACACAATTCAGAAAATCTCTGGTTGTTAAAATTAGCTCATTGGCTCATATGATTTCTCCAGGTTTTCTGACTTGTGATATCAATTATTCAGCTAAAACATATCAACTAATGGACAAGTTTCAGACCACTTGAAATAAACCATAACCTCAAGCCCATACCAGTTACCCTGTGCAGTTTGAGAGAGGAACAGCTATATTCAGCACTATCCTCTGTAATGAAAAACCAACAACTCTGTCAGGATTTTCTGTAAGTCAGCCAGTTTTTCCTATGGGTAGGACATACCATAGTGTTTGCACCATTCTATGTTGATGAGAGTGCAATAAATATACTGCTATTGCACACTAGCACGTGTACAAGTAACACTACTTTAGCCTCCAGTAACTGTATTGAAAGTATTACAGTATTTCCTGTTTAAAAGCACTAAAGACCATGAGCTGCACCACATATGTTCCTGCTCTCACAATTGCTATGTTTTGTGAAGTTCTTTCTACATCTTCAATGGTTTCATCATCCTGCAATAAATATTTTACTCTAAACCAATGTAAAAACTAAAAGCAGCATTTACTCCAGGTCAATATATACTTTGTGAGATATTTCATCCAAATATATATATATATATATATATA